GGTGAATACCCACTTCGTCGGATGCATGGGTATTCACCCACGAAAGCTCATGCTCCAATATGTCTGTTAGTCTATAGGTGCCACAGGACTCTTAGTCTGGATCTGTAAAAGCAGCAAACACGGCTACCCCTCTGATACTTATTCTAAGATGAGATTCTCTTTTTGGCCCATTAAGGAATTTAAAACCAAGTCATGTCCTAGAATGGCGTGTTCATCCAAAGAGAATGGTTTTGTACATTTAATCATTTTGACCGGTAATCCCCATCAACTGGTACAGACTGCTGCATTGTAGACTGATGAGTCTACATTAGGAAGCATGCCGTTAGCAAGAACTAAGAGATTTATTTTTGTAGATCGAATATGTATGTTACTTCAGATGTTCTTTCTTATCCAGCTGCATTTTTAAATGCAGAGCTTCCATCTTGAAGTTTGTCCATTTCTTTTTTCCTCTTTCGTTGTTCTATACAGGGAAAGCTACTGTATTATCCCCGCCCCAAAAATGACCTGACTACAAGCAGAGAGCATTTACAAATGAAAACAAATTGATTCTTCTCCCTTTCATCATGTGTAACTCTCTAAACTGTGGTGATTGTTATTTTTTTCTTCAAATGCAGATTTTAGCAATGTGCCTGATGTCACCGCTGGTCTGAAGAGGAGCAGTACTGATGGCACTTTGGACCAAGTGCCACACAGGCAGAAGACTGACCCACCTTTCAGGGTAAGAGCATATCCTAGATTTTTTTTTTTTTGGCTGCCCAGCCAAAAGGGATACATGGGGTCTGATTTTTAGAATCATAGACTTTAAGGTCAGAAGGGACTATTATGATCGTCTAGTCTGACCTCCTGCACAACGCAGGCCACAGAATCTCACCTACCCAATCCTGTAACAATCCCCTAACCTATGTCTGAGCTATTGAAGTCCTCAAATCGTAGTTTAAAGACTTCAAGGTGCAGAGAATCCTCCAGCAAGTGACCCGTGCCCCACGCTGCAGAGGAAGGCGAAAAACCCCTAGGGCCTCTGCCAATCTGCTCTGGAGGAAAATTCCTTCCTGACCCCAAATATGGCGATCAGCTAAACCCTGAGCATGTGGGCAAGACTCACCAGCCTGACACCCAGGAAAGAATTCTCTGTAGTAACTCAGATCCCACCCCATCTAACATCCCATCACAGGCCATTGGGCATATTTACCGCTATTAGTCAAAGATCAATTAATTGCCAAAATTAGGCTATCCCATCATATCATCCCCTCCATAAACTTATCAAGCTTAGTCTTGAAGCCAGATATGTCTTTTGCTCCCACTTCTCTCCTTGGAAGGCTGTTCCAGAACTTCACTCTGATGGTTAGAAACCTTCGTCTAAACTTCCTGATGGCCCGTTTATATCCATTTGTTCTTGTGTCCACATTGATACTGAGCTTAAATAATTCCTCTCCCTCCCTGGTATTTATCCCTCTGATATATTTATAGAGAGCAATCATATCCCCCCTCAGCCTTCTTTTGGTTAGGCTAAACAAGCCAAGCTCTTTGAGCCTCCTTTCATAAGACATCATCCTAGTAACCCTTCTCTGCACCTGTTCCAGTTTGAATTCGTCTTTCTTATACATGGGAGACCAGAACTGCACACAGTATTCCAGATGAGGTCTCACCAGTGCCTTGTATAACGGTACTAAGTCTTGAGCCCTCAAGGTTCATGAAACCTGGGTCTGGATTTGCCCCTTAAAACACATTGTTGCCTCACTTGGGGCAATGTGGAGGTGCACTATCCTGCTAGGAGCATTGGGATACATTGTGCTTTGGGGATCAAAGCAACTGCTATGTCCTTTGTGAAGATTTATTGTATGCTGCTGTCTGAATCCAGCCTTCATGCTTATCTAGGAGAGGCGAGGCTCTTGCCCCGGGCACCAACAGTCTGATGCAGTCTTCTACTCAGAGAGGCTCTTTGTGCCCCTCTCCCACTTCTCCTTGCATACCCATCCGCTGTAATCTTGCCCAAGGAGTGTGTGTGTGTGAGGAGGGAGAACAATGGTTCTGGAATAGTGCAGAGAGACATGCAAATCAGATCATAGTCTGCTTGAAGGAAGACATTTTTGTACTTTTGCTTTGCAAGAAACATTTAGCTGCCAACAGGAAAGAAACAGACTTGTTTGTCAAAATCATCCCTTATGTCTTTTTAAAATACGCCAGAAAATGGGAAATTAAAGAGAGTTGAGCAGGATACTGATACACAGAGCACAATTCATTTATAGCAGTTATTGGATGGGATAAGCTACTGTGAGCTTCTAAATTATGTACCACTGCTAATTCCAAAAGAACTGGAAGGGATCAGACAGGTTTGCTCCCTGGTGACTCTTTTTCCTAAAATCTCTACCAGTTATACCAGTGCATAATGTGTTAAGTTATTTCCCAGACCATATTGCAGTTGGGCTTTTTGATTGGAATACAGTAATGCGAACGTTATTTTTAAGAGTTAACGGAGGGTGTCCTGGCTTTCTAGATGCAGTGGAAAAAATGGCTTGGCAATCAGATGCAGTTTGATTTGATGAACCACAGCTGTAAACGAGTCTTTGACAGCCCTACAATTTCTGCAAATGGTTTTTAATTGATTGCCTTCTTTCGGTTGGAGGGTACCTATTACTGTCACAGCTCTTTGTACGACCCTCTCGATGTTTCTAATCATGTAGGATTTTTAAAGACAGCAAGTTAGAAAGTAGCCTCATTGTGCATGTTTGGTGATTGGGAACAAAAAGAAGTGGTTTCTGTTTTTGGTGTAGGACTGTTCACCATATAAACAATAGGCACTCCTAATAAAAGCTAGTGGAAGAAAATAGTGCAACCTCCGAAGGTGTAGTATCTGCTTTTGTTTTGTTTTTTCTTTGTCTCACATATCTATGTATGCTAATTTGATGCATTTGTATGGAAGTACAGTTGTAGGGATATTTCAGTATTATGTAATGTTACAGAAGTGTGGGGGTGAGAGGAGGCTACATATGCAAGTACAGCATTGTGAAGAAGACATTGATGGTGGTAGGTGGTTCTGAACATATCTTGGAACAACAGGCAGTTTGGGGTTATTTTATTGGGGGGTGTGAGTGTGTGAGAGAGAGAGAGAAAGAGATGTTCATTTCCCAACAGACAACAGCTGTAGATGTAATCACTTGCTTTGTGGAAGCAGAATCCTTTGAACTTTGGTTGAATTTTTCCTAAAACAGGTAAGTAAACAAAAAGCAATCTTAACGAAGCTAAACTCTTAATATAAATCTGTATGTTTGCTTATTAGATTTTATATTTGTACTTTCTGGGTTTTTTATTTTTCATTATATAGCCTCTTTCCTGTAACAACCTTAAGGATAATCTTTGCTGAAGAATGCACTGAAGAGAGCATCCAAATGAATTTCAGAGGTGCATACTAATTTGGGGCAAGAACATCTTTTGTCCTAGGGGTACTACATTGACACTAACAATCTTTCATTCATTGTTGTCGTCCAGGAGACAGATGAATGAACTGAAATAGTTTTATGTCTGTCCATCAGTCTAAAAGTTAATTTGTGAGATAACAGGAAGATAAAGAGATACTTAGTTACAGAAAATGAAACTTCTTGATAAGCTCTAAGAAATTATATAAAATAAGTAGACACTTAAATCCATCTGTTCTTGGCAATTCTGTAGTTTTGGCAGTTTTCCTTTCTCTGAGATGCCCAGTTTATACCTTTCTTAATAACTGCTCCCCTCCCCCATACACACATTTTTTTTTTTTACAATAAATGTTACACTTTTAACACATTCCGTGTCAATACATTTTCAAACTGTGTTAAAATGTTGTTTACGTGGCAGTGGTATGTAACGTTGGCAATTGTTGTTTCTGCAATATGTAGGCGTATTGTTGACAGAAGAATAGAAGACCTTGAAAAATCTAGGGATGCAGCACGATTGCTGATTCAATTAGATTTAGTTGTGTTTAATCACTCTGAGGTCTAATTTCTTGTGCTCCTGGTGTTCATTGAAATGCTGATATATTGACAATTGCCAAAGATCAAGTCCTTCATGCATTAAAGTAACATAAGCTGCATTTTGTATTCAGTGCCTTATGTATAGTTACTTTTATTTTTATTCATAGGTCATAATTTATGAAAAATGTTTTCTGTAAGCCATGGTTTATATTAGCTGGAAATATAACAGTGCAATTGCTAACTTGCCTATCTTTACTGTGTATTTTTGGTAGATTCTTTTAATGCATTACACTTATTTATTTAATTTTATTTATTTTATTTTAAAGAGACTTCATGTTACCAAAGAAGGCACTCCTACTCTAAGGCTTTCTTGTAAGACTAATGTAATCTGGCTTTCAGCTGCTCTAATTCTTTAGAGCATTATCAGAGAAAAGTGCTTCTCGAAACAAATTAAATTTGAACAAAAAAAGGAAATACTTTAATGTAAACATTCTCTCTCTCTTTCTTTCTTTCTCTCTCTCTCTCTCTGATATTAGATATGTGTGTCTGTGAGAGTAGGAGAGAGATGTTTTTAGACCAGAGATTTACCAGATAATAAATAAGATTAATTTACAGTAGATTTTAGTCACCATTCTTAAAGACCTATTTTGTCCTCAGACTGGTTGCATGTCTCCAGCTTGGCAAAATAGGTAATAATGCAACACATTTGAAATAACTTCAGTGTGTTCAAAGCTGAATATTAAAGTTCTTATAAAAAGAATGGTTTTTACAAAATCTATAGAAAAAAATAGATAGTTGATACTTAGTTGTAATAGTAGTAATAGTGGAATGAATGCAGTAATTCAGAGTAATATATGCCAACCTCTTCAAAAACTGTTACATGAAATAGAGCATATTTAGACGATCCTATTTTGTGTTCCTGACTGGCTGAATAAAAATCAATGATAATGGTATTTCAGGTTCTCGAGTATTATGAATTATTTGATGTATCTTTTCAAAGGGCAGATCAAAATAAGTTGTCTAAAGAAGAAACATGATCAGAGTAGTTGTCCTGCTCTCTCTTTCTTTAGGAGAAAAACACTACAAATGCCTTCTTAGCTTTTGCAAAATGGTCCATCTGGCGCTGAAATTGTATTTATTTATTCAGAACCTGATGGATGTAGTTCTTAGGCCACTTGAAAGAAACATTTCAGACATATTAAATTATGGGCAGGCAAATGTTTGGAAGGTTTGGAAAAAAAAAAAAAGCATGCCCATTTAGGACTGTTTGAAATTTTTTTTGTCATTTACCTAAGATAAGAGAACTTGCAAATTTCATACTGATCATGAGCAGTTGATATTTTCATTAACTCTGTCTGTGGGCAATTTCCTGCACATTTCCAAACAGGTTAGGAGACAACAGTTATTGGCCCCCATACATTGAGAATCCAGGTTTGTCCTAGTGCTTTCACATGGGAGGAACCCAACAGCTATATTTTCAGAATATCAGAAGACTAGAAATGCGCACCTGCTGTGCATGCTCAGTATGCTATTTGCAAAAACTCTTAACTTTGGCAAAAACAAGTTCTTTTTTTTTTTCTGTTGGTCCCAAAACGATCCAAAATGTGCCTGCAGTTATGCATCTAATTTGCATATACATTTACCTTGAATGGCTGTGTAAATTTTGTGCATATCTATGCTAATGATCACTAATACATCTGGCCATTTACACATGCAAATAAACAATTTGTACATGTAACCTCAGTAAACATCTTTACCAATCAGACATATG